TAGCATGGTGATTTTCCATGGCTATGTTAAAGGGTGTGAAATAGTTTTAGGATTTTTTTTTCAGCAGGTTTGTTTTTTTTTTTGGATTTCTTGGCTGGTACCATTTGCCTAGTGTTTGCAACGGTTTGGAACTTGAATTTGTCTTTTGCATGGTATTTGCCACATTTGGGCATGTTCACCTTCCATTTTGCATGGGATTTACTACATGTGGGCATGTTCACCTTCCATTTTGTATGGTATTTGCCACATTTTGGCATGTTCACCTTCCATTTTGCATAGGATTTCCTACATGTGGGCATGTTCACCTTCCATTTTGTATGGTATTTGCCACATTTTGGCATGTTCACCTTCCATTTTGCATGGGATGTTCTACATGTGAGCATGTTCACACAAATATGTACAGATGCGGAAGCTTGGGATTAGATAAAAAGCGGGTGGGGCGATTGAGGGAGGGCGCTAGCTATCTATCCAGCTAGCTAGCTATCTAGCTATCCAGCTAGCTATCTATCTAGCAAGCTAGCTATCTATCTAGCAAGCTATCTATCTATCTATCTAGCTATCTACCTACCTATCTAGCTATCTAGCTAACTATCTATCTAGCTATCTAGCTTTCTAGCTTTCTATCTATCCAGCTATCTATCTATCTAGCCATCCAGCTGCCTATCCACCTATCTAGCTATCGAGCTATCTAGCTAACTATGTATCTAGCTATCTAGCTATCTAGCTTTCTATCTATCTAGCTATCTATCTATCTATCTATCTAGCCATCCAGCTGTCTATCCAGCTATCTAACTATCGAGCTATCTATCTAGCTATCTATCTATCTAGCTAACTATCTACCTATCTATTTAGCTATCTATCTATCCTTCTATCTATCTATCTATCTAGCTATCTATCTAGCTATCTATCTAGCCATCTATCTAGCTAGCTATCTATCTATCTAGCTATCTATCTAGCCATCTATCTATCTAGCTATCTATCTAGCCATCTATCTATCGAGGTATCTAGCTAGCCATCTATCTCTCTAGCTATCTATCTATCTAGCTGGCTATCTATCTAGCCATCTATCTATCTAGCTATCTATCTAGCCATCTATCTATCGAGGTATCTAGCTAGCCATCTATCTCTCTAGCTATCTATCTATCTAGCTGGCTATCTATCTATCTAGCTATCTATCTACCAAGCTATCTATCTATCCAGCTATCTATCTATCTATCCATCTATCACATGTAATCCTGTCAGCTTTCCAGAGAAGGTTGGTTCGCAAAAACCAACTAATGTAACTTGGGTTTAAGTTAAATTTTAAAAAAGGGGGAGGGGGGGATTGGGGGGAGGGCGCAGCGCCTCCCCCCAAAGCAGAATGCAAGCACCTCTTCTCACATGTTTCGTTGCTAGTTTTCAAGAGAAGGTTGGTCGTGTGATACTCAGGGATGTAAATACTGTGCAAAATGCATCTTACATGAAAATCAAGTATTTAAAGCAGGCAAAGCAAAAAAAAGCAGAGAAGCAAAGAAACAGGAAACGCACAAAAGCAAAACAGCAGAAAGGCAAAGAAGCAGGAAAAGCAGAAAAGCAGAGAAGCAGGAAAAGCAGGAAAAGCAGAGAAGCAAAGAAACAGGAAAAACAGAAAAGCAAAAAAGCAGAAAAGCAGAGAAGCAGGAGAAGCAGAAAAGCAGAAAAGGCGAGAAGCAGGAGAAGCAGAAAAGCAGAAAAGCAAAAACGCAGAAAAGCAGAGAAGCAGGAAAAGCAGAGAAGCAGGAAAAGCAGGAAAAGCAGAGAAGCAGGAATCCAAAAATAATTCCTAAACCTGATCAAAAAAAAATCCTAAAATAATTAGCCCTCCTATGTTAAATAACCAGAGGGTACCTTCTCAATTCCCGTCCGGAACCTTCAGGTGCAGGGCTTGTAATCGCAAAAATGTCCGTGTTCACCATCCTGAAAAATGATCAAAATATCTCCGACTCTGAGGAACTCTGGGTTGATGGTGGTTGAATGTGGCCCATGAATATTTCATGTGCCCTGAGAAAAAAACATCAAAACAAAACAACTAGCGAGTCATTGGGTGAGGTCACTCTAATTTGCTTAATACTTAATGCTCACAGAGGCAACAAGAAAATGCAAAGAACAACCTTAACAAAAGAGATGTTGCCATCAAAAGTGCCAAATATATTTGCCGCAACCATGACGGTAGATTCACCAAGCATATAAATGTCAAAGTTGGCAATTGGATCCACGGACCAAATGAAACCAGACCGCAGGGACATCACCCCCAAAACGAAGGCCTTGATTCCAACGTAGCCAGTTGGAGATATTCACTTCCTCCATACTCATGGATATACTCTTTGCAAACTATCTCCATGTATCCCCATTCCTTTACACGGAATTTCATATGCATGACCAAAACGATCACAGTCCTATTGGGGTCTATATCAGATACCACGATTTCCAACAGTGGCAACTTTATCAAACATGGGGGGTTACACCTTCGTTCACGACCCTAAATTCAAACCTTGGGATGGACGCTGGATCATCTGTTGTTCAAATCCGACAACATAGATCCAAACAATCGTTGTTGAATATTGACTATGCTGACTATGCCGACTATGTGAGTCTTGAGTTTTGAATCCCGTGTTATTCTGACTTTGGGCATGCCTTTTGGCCGGGCCCGGTACAGCAATGATGTGGCCGTTTCCAGATCATATTAGGCAATCTCTCTGGCGATGCCTGTTTTGCCACACAAAAATGGTGGCTTCGTGGCTTCGTTCGTTTCATGTTTGTTGAGATTTGCTCTTGGTGGCCTTCTAACTTCGAAGAAATGACCAAACTTCAATTGACATTCAACGAAATCTTCTTGTGGCAAGAGCGTGCGGCGATTCGCATTTCCCAAAGTTGCGTCAAACCTGCATTGTCTGATGTTTGTCCCATTGTGTTCCAATTTAAGGTTATATGTTGTACCAATTTAATTCTACACATAACCCCTTTCCTGACATTGTTACGTACCATCAGTATTTCCGCACTTGCTTGGTCTCATACTACGATGTCTTGTTGGCTAAAAGAAAAGGACCCACCACAACGTCACCAATCTCACATGTATTTTACTATGTTGATTTGTCTTTGGGACGTTGTCAACTCATTATATCCCATTACAACCTGGTTATATCCCCATATTATGTGTATATATATATGTATTCCCTTTACAAACACATGTCACATGTTCAAAAGTTGGATCAAATATATTCAAATATGATAGCACAATATTTGTGGGATGGTCAACCATCCATTTTCATTCAAAAAATAAATCATACCTAAGAATTCCCATGGTGGGATGGGTGACCTATACCATGTCTTAACCACGGCATATTTTCTCTACCTTGGAGCCAGGCGACTTGAAGCCCATGAATTTGGGAGCAACCACTCTGCAGGAAAGCTCACCTAAGTGGGGAGTGGCTATCAGCTGGACATCTTCAGCAAATCCACAGCAATGAGTCGGATCAAGCAACCATCAGGCCAATTGGTGCCAAAGAATTTTGTGGAGACTTTGCACAGCGACCCATCTCAATCCACAGCCCGGGAACTTTGGAAAACGTCGATGATGCGGCGGTTGATGGCCTTAAGGGAGGATCATCCCGGGAAAATAAACACCCAATGACCATGGCTGGATCTACCTCCATGCGCGGTCCGGTAAACATTCTTTGGGCAAAAAACACCGCGTGTTGTGTTTGATTGTGCTGCTCGAAACCTGGATGAACCAATCCTGCAAATCATCATTCTACAGCAGATCGCGCAGAAATACGGCATTAAACACATGTAAACATATGTAAACATATGACATATGTAAACACATGTAAACCAAAAGCTGGCCGAACCGTGTTAAACCAACATATTCACCAGGGGATTCTTTCCCAACATTTTCCACCATTTTTTTCGCTGCGGAAACTCCACCAAGGGACGCTCACATTCAACACATCGCTGCCAACCCCAGAGAAGGTTAAATCCAAGGTCGGCGGGTCCAAAAAGAACAGTCCTTGGTGCTACATGGCTACACTCATCATTCGGGTTCCACGTTTTGAATGATTTTTTTTCCAGAAAAATTGTAGGAAACCATTGATATCCATTGGTTATTGACATGTTTGAACATAAATTACGGGTTTTCCTCTGTTTTCCGGCAATGTTTCCCTTTCAAACCATGCTGAAGGCACAGAGACCATTGGAATGATTCGGTGAACCACAGTGAACAATGGAAAATCATTGAAAGTAACAATGGCCAACATTGCTTTGGCAGAAAATGCAAAATTGAGATAAGACAACGTACCAACGTTCAAACGACAAAGAGTGATACCTTTGAACTAAAAACGGGCGGAAGGATTCCACCAACCAAAATGAAGATAATATGTGGCAATCGCTGGTTGTCTGGATGTAAGCAGCAACCATAAGAAACTCATTGTGCACCCCCCAGATAGCAAATAGTCCTGTTTGCGCTTATGGGATGTAATGGCCAAAAACAACCAACAGCAAATATTGATGATAAGGCTTGAAAAAACATGCGGACATTAAATGTGATCATGCTGGCTAGTGGGTTGAGACAAACTTGCAACTCTGCATGCAAAGATTGGTGTTCCACAAACCAAGTCCTGTATCTATATATATATAAATACATATACACACAACAATGCAACCAAAAGCAAAATCTACGCATTTTCACGCATGGATTGAAAGTTGGGGCATTGATTTTCAACTACCCCGAGAACTGCAGAACCATGTTGGAGTGCCGCATCTCTGACTCAACAGTTTGCCCCATAGGAAAAGCCGTGGCCAAACCAGAATCGTCCAACAAACAACACTCAAATGCTGATGGACCAGCAAAAAAATGGTAGAACTTAAATCAAATCCCGTGAGCAACATGAATTCACCACGATGGGATGTTGAGAAACCCGATTCGGTGGTAATTACCATGTTTGCAAAAAACATCTCAGTGTTTCTGGGTGTGTGCGGGCGCACATGCATGCAATTGTGCACGTCGATGCAGGTTGCGCTTCAGCCAAGCTGCTTACTCCTTTGAACATGGGCGGGTATGGAAGCATGTGGACCAACTCTACCAAAAGATGGCCCTTCAAAACCACACCTGTGATGAGGAAAAGTGGACAGGTGTCGGCAACATGCAACAGTCTCAAACAAGTGGCTGGACAACATATTTACACAATCACGAGGTGTGCAACCCAACATCATCCAAGAAGGGAGCGCTCCAAAAGAAAAAATGGTAGCTCATAATCACAAGCAGTTTCATGCTCGTGCAGTTTGTGAGAAACCCAAGTTTGTGCTTTGCGTGTGAAAACCTCAACGCCAATGCCAATGACCAAAAACATTGCTAGGCCAGCGTCCCAAAATCATTGAGGCACCCCCACCTTGAACGCCAGCTGCTGTGCCAGCCATCTGCAAGAAAATGGATGGGTCCCCATGCCACTCCTTAGAGTAAATCTAGGCACCGCATGAGGTGGGTTTTGGAATGTGATATGCCCACGGCTTTTGGCTTTGAACCCGCCCAGCTGGCTATCAACGCTCTATATGCCGGGTGAACTCTATCCACGGCAATTTTGTTATCCCCAGGGAAACATCATCCGGCTGAAGTACCAAGCAACCATCCTGCACCGGAACACGATGTTGTCACAGAAGCCATCGGGAGTCCATTCCTGCCGAGTTCCCGGCACCGCTGGATTGCTTCGAACGCGAAGCCCGCCAGATGCCGACACGCGCGACAAAACAATCGCTTAGCAAAAATTTGACCAAAATCATGGCAAATTCTCGCGGCCCTGTCTCATCCTTCATTTCCCAATCAGGTTGCGACAAAAACAAAGCTGGTTGCTGTCACCATAAGACACGGCTGAATCGCCCCATGTTACCGTTTTGCTGGTACACAACTTGCCCCTGGAAGCATGCTGTGGCACCGGCTATCAGCATCATAAGCCCTTCAAAACGAGACCCATCATTGTATAAACATGTATAAACCTCCACTGCCCTGCTTCTGTCTGATGCTACCCTTTGCTCCAGTCAGCCAAGCCAAGTAAACCCTGAAAACACTTTCTGCCGAAAAACACTTTAAACTCAGAAGCGGAACCTACAAACTCAGGGTGGGCCGGTTACCAAAGTGATGGGCTTGCAAGACCAACATCCCCATTTCTGCTGGATTAACCAACGGGAAAAGCAAACATGTATCAAGGGGGGGCTGCATTAGAGTCAGCAGGTGGGTAGAAACCAAGTACAATCATAATCCAATCATATCACCATATGCAAAATAATATATATATATATATTCATCTAATATTCACATATATATATATATATATATCATATATAATAGAACTATCTTTTAAATAAACAAACATAATATATATATATAATGATATATATAATTTCTGATATATAAATAGTAAATATACACATATCTAACAAATATATATTTATAATAATATAGTACATCTATATTTATAGTATATATATAGTATATATATATATTTATAGTATATATATATATATATCTATTTATATAGTATATATATATACATAGTATATATATATATATACATACCATATGTATTGTATATATATGTATATGGATTGGGTATGGGCTAGAAGCAACTTAAATGAACCCATAATCTGCATAAATTGTGTTCAACCATCTGGTTACCAGAAACAAACAAATATGAACACACAGAAACTCTTGAATTCATAGAGTTAATTGCCAATCGCAATCCCAAGGAGATGACCATAGGACATAGGACATAGGAACAAATAAGATTGGTCATAAATTTAAACCAGCTTCCCCATGATATTATTCCAAGAATGGCCAGAAACTCGTCAAAGAATCAAGGCCAAGGTTGCCCGGTCGAAGCCGCTAAACCGCTAAACGATCCCAATGGCTAAACATCCCGGGAAGAAGGGAATCACTGACTTAGGATTTTCTTCATATCCCGGCCACGTGTGTGCATCAGAGCAGAGACTAATTCAAAGTTACCATAATGCTCAAATAGTGGTTTTCTATGGTATCTCATACGTCGCCACTTCATGTACATCCGGAGATATTAAACGATGTGTGGCTGGAAACGCAAGATTTAAAGCCTACGTTGGCCCAGGGTCTCCGAAGATTGCATGGTCTGGCCCGAAATCAGATATTTTGTGCTCCAAAATTCAATTTGGAAGAAAACCGTGTTCAAAACGCTTAATTTTGGGCCCTTTGCCTGTTGCTCCTCATGACCAGGAGACAACAATGTGAATTGAGGTTAGCAAGTGCATCCTACATTTTGCATGGAGCACTAAGTTGATCGGACAATTGGATTTTGGACTCTTGATTTTTTGACATAGGATTTCCTCATACTTTGATTCCAAGTAAAATTGACGGAGTCTACCTGAAAGGCGGGCAGAAGAACGTTCGTATTTTCCACCGCGCATTACTGAATATGAAACAAGTGTCTGGGATAGTTAGAAGGTTTATCAACGTTGAGGAAACAAAACCAACAGGAACACTCAAAAAAAATTGAGGATTTGTCACATGGCCGCCATGAATCCAAAATGAGAGCAGTAATAAAGGCATGGTCTCCAACGAGCAGTTCGAAAAAAAACAACTCATCTCCGAATTTCTTCGAATCTGTTTCAAACCAAAATCAATGAATCTGATTCTCCTGTGTTCTTCTTATCGGTATACATCATACATAAATTACGTTATATATTATATATATATTGCCCTTTGATGATTTCAAAGCAGCATCATTCGGTATCAATCCTTGTGCTGCCTGAACCCCCTTTTCAAATGGCTAAATCAACAAAAGACTAAGTTTTGGTTTGACCACCTTCTAAACACATCACTAACATGCAGGTGCCACACCAACCCTGTATCGACGTGCCGCACCTTTCGATCAAAGATCTTGATGCTGGAAAATTGAACGGGTTCGTGGCCTGACTCGCCCAATTCCCAAACCCAGATCTGTCGATTGGTCGCTGGATGTTTTGTTAACAAAATCTAGTGGATGTTTTGGGACAAAAACCTGAGCCATGCCCCAAGGATGTGTATCTCATATTGTCTCAAACCAGCCTCGGAGCTTGTCAAAAGTGTTGTACCACCGGGTCCAAGAAACTCTACTCATGACATATATGTTTCGTCGATGGTTTGGTTCATCAACTTTTCACCGTATCTGAAGCAACATATTTTCGGGGGCCCGCGATTTTCCATCAAGTTCTCCGTATCACAACTTCTGGGGTTTAAAACCAATGGTTCTACCCATGAAAACCACCCCAACTCAGGTAAGTTATATCTTCCAGGATATTCCCATCATATTTCCCAAGTAAAATCACAATTTTGGCGCATAAATCATCTTAAATCACCATCCAAAGTTGTTGACCATTTGACCGGATTGCCAGACATCTCTCGGGCCCCACGCCCAAATGCGAGCGGTTCGGATCCATCTGTGCGCTCAAATGCGAAGGAAGTGCTGCTCGTAGTGCGGGATCGACCTCCTTCAGCAGGAATTCGGTCGCCTGCGGTGCAAAACCCGGACCCGGAACGGTTTCTGCAGGTTTTCTCGGGATTTTTCACCGACAAAACCGGAAACAATGATGGTTTAGCCAAGAAAATCTAACCTAATCAAGAAACATGGTGATATTCGTCGATCTGTCGATCTAATTGGTTAATACCCTTCGGTGTTCACAAAATGCTTGGGAAATTCTTGGACTAAATGTGGTTTCAATAAGACTATCATCAAACTAAATGGCATGTTTCTTGCCATGTTTGATTCCACTAAGGTTTTAGGGGAAATTGGTTGCAGTAAACGGACTTGTTGATAACGGTTGATGTGATTGTTTTTCTTTGCGTGCTTTTCAGATCAATTGGATCTGGGTAAATTTTGCAGATTAGGGAGAAATCGATTGCACGACATTGGGGCTCAAAATTGGACACGATCTTGTTTGGATTGTTTCGCAACTTTTTTTTGCAGGGGCTACTGTCCATGAGTCTGTCATTGCAAATCTGCAGCGTTTTGCCATTCTTTACCATTCTATACCTGCGATGATCCATGAATCCATGAATAAACCTCGTGTTTGATGGTCAGCTAATGTTGAGCCCCTTTATTTTGAAGTTTATACCGGTGATTCGTGATCATTCCCCATTTGAAAACATCTTCTGGCTTTGTCTGATGGAGCACCCCCAATTCCAATGGACCAATTTTCCAATTCCATGTTCATCAAGTGTCCCTTTCAACCCGTGATCATCCCACGTGTGGGTTCGTCAACGGAACATCCCTGGAGATATACCCTGAGTCTCAAAAGAACCTCAACCATTTATGGTGATATATCCACAATGTAGCCCCTTTATACTTGCTTACTTACGAATTTCAGTCTGGAATATGTCATCCATATGCATATATATATATAGATAGATAGAGAGTATCTCATTTTCAACGATCATCCCGATTAAATAAAATTATACAATCTCCGCATAGATCCCAAGTATACCCACATATTTAGGTGGCATTTTCATCCCCAGCTCCCAGATCTAGATCAAGCCACCCAGTGGGACACTTGCGGCCAGACGTGTGCCACAATCTCGTTCGCCGGAACTGCTAGGGCAGAACCCGGTACACCTGGCAGGGGTGATACATAGCAAGTTTTTACATACATAGTTAGTGAAGTTGGTTTATTAGGTTAACTCTAATGACCCTAATGTATCCGTATAAAACAACTATTGTGGTGTTTTGGGGGTCTACGGATGACTTGGATAGGTCACTATCACACTGTTATCATATGTTATCTAAAAACACCTGATGATTCAGCAGTATAGGTTTTCTGCAAATATGGAAAATACATTTGATTGTTTTAAAAATTGTTTGAATTTGTTAAACGCTGTCATCATAATGATGTTGGTGGTTTTGAAAGAAATCATTCGTAAGATCAAGTATCAAATTTTCAATATGTCAGGAACTCCTCTGGTGCACGTCAAAAATGGTTGGATCCAAAACCAACCTAGGATTGGGTCCGATTTTCATGCCAACCACCAAAGAACCCTTCTGACATCAAAAAAAACTATGTGGAAACTGGCAGGCCAAAGAAAAACACACACGAAATTATCAATTAGTAGGATGGCGGATTAGTTTTTTCAGCACATACCAACGCCTTGGTCCCATGTCCCAGCGTAAAAGCGTATTTTCAGGAACCCATTGTTTTCACACCCAAATATTGAAACCACATCTGAATTTCTCTAACCGACATCCTTCACCCATACATGCCGCACCCACGACATAGAGGTTTTGGGAATCCCCACCTTCCGAGAAGGGATTTGGAGCTCCAGCAGCCGCGGCTGCGGTGACGTCAGCAGCACCCACGGGCACCGACTCTGACCTTGGATGTGCAGTTCCAGTCGGAAACCATGGAAGAAACCGCATCAAAATGCTAGTTTTTCATGGGAAAAATACTATCCTTAAAACATGGAAATTTCATTAGGTTTTTCCCCTTCATAACTGGTGTGGTTGTGACACAGTTTTACCACTTAGATATTTTTTTTTGACCATGGTAACTCACCACTTACTTGGCCGGATGATCCTCAAAGTAGGTCCCACCCAACTATGCGGAGGTATATACCGCCAAAAGCACAAGGGTTAATAACAATGCGTCTGACATTTTTCGATCACAAAACATGCCCATGGCCCATTTACAACACTGAAATCCTACCATTTTGCGGGTGCATGGTTCTGGCTTATGGTTTGGTGCTTCAAAGATGGCAAGGTTGAACGCACCTACAAGTCAGCAACCTGTTCTCAGCGTGGTGGTTAGGTACAAATTGGCCTGCCCAACCAACCAAGGTTTCTCAGGCACAATGACAGAACATCCTCTGTTGAAAAGCAATGATGATTTTTAACTCCATTCTTGGGAGGCTCGTTTTACACACGCTATTTTCATGGGGAAAATCTGCAGGACACCGTGGACAGCCGCCGAATCGAAGCACAATTTTTGTAGGCCTCATTCCTTAAACTTCGTGAAGATAGCGGCAAAGCGTGGCAACTGTGGACCGGAGCCGCGAAACGAATAGAGTTTTTGTCTGAATCTGGTGGTCTTCGCACCGGGGGTGTATGGGCAAGACACCGCAAGGAAAACGTGATAGAATCTGGAATTCACCTGCCAAACTGGAAAAAATACACACTTTTTGCTGGTTATGATGAAACTGCCAAGTTAGACCTTTGATACCAATATCGCATGTTAGCACGTGTTCTAGGGGTCAATCAGCAAACAAGTGTTGATTTTTGTGAGGAATGGGTCTTAGCATACTTCTGACAACATTAGGCGCTTTTTCTGGAAACTAAGAGAAAACCAAACGACGTGTAATATTCATTATACATAAAGTTGTTCACACATACATACATACATACATACATACATATATATATATGTATAATGTTTGCACTGTACCAAGCAATATAATGCAATATCCACATCCCGTGGTGGCTTCTGCTGCTTGAAGCAACCATCTACTGGAGACATTACAGTGTGATTCCATACCTACTCTAATTTCAACATCTTGAAACAACCTGTAGCTATGGCTTAAATCTTTGAAACCAACTAACCTTACATTGGTTTCAGTAACTATGGAAACTAAACCCCGTGTACAAGGTTTATCAAGGTTTATCATAATTTTCCACTTTAAAGTTGTTATAGATATCAGACAAACCGACTGTGTATTTGTTGGTCTGTTGGAACATGGAAACAACAGCATAGCCAGTTGGTGATCTCAAGAAATCTGAGAACTAGCTTCCCCCATTCACCCCATATCTTCAAAAGAGAATCATAGGATTCCAATCCACCAACCCAAACTACCAGGCAATGATTTGATTGACTATACGTAGGCCATCTTTTGTTAATGTAAACCGTCTTAACCATTGGATCGTTTTTTTCGATGAAAATCGACAGGAACCCCGAACCTATGAGGGCAAGAACCTGAGTTTCCAGTTGCGATTTTGCCCTTCCGGTGGTTTAAAACATGATAAATTATACCTGATAATGTCATGCGGATTCAACTAGCCCCCAACATAATAGTGGGATAATATGGATGGTCAAGATTCGCCGTTTATTGATCGTTTTTGGCCGTTGTTGGATCCCTCAAGATTCGCCATTCTTGTTTGGGGAGGTCCCACCGGAGAAGGCTGGTGGGATCAATGAACATATATACAGTATATATAGTCATCTCTAAAAAGATAAAACAGCATTTTTTTTATCTTCATGGGGATATACTTCAAGTTTTCTATCTTTTTGGGGATAACATGGGATAACTGTGTATATGTATCCATCTGTCTATCTATCTATCCATCCATCCATCCAATCTTAGAGATCTGTTTCAGGATAGGAGGGATGACGTGACGAAGTTTCCAACTTTTCTATTTGGGGGTTGCTATATGCCGTAGCACACATACAAAAAAGTTTGGGAACATCATCCATTTTAGACAAGTTCCGAACAGGAAACAAGCATGGATTTCCATAGTTCGTTTGTATGTTTACCAAAGGATAGTTCAAAAATAAGGTTGATGGCTGATGGGTTTTCACCACAATATCATCAATTAAACATCAAATAGCTACCTGAAATTTGAAATATCCTTTAAAATACATCAATCTGGCTGAATTAGACTAATTCACCAAGCTGAAATAGCTGTTACCGGCATCATGTGGCTGGGGATGATTCCCCTCCATTGATATTTTATAAATGGTACCCATGCGAAAAAAACAACACTAAACTAGGGCTTTCCCAATCCTGGGTTGATACTACATGAAACCCTTGAAAATTACTACATCAATCACCAGATCCCCAAAAGTAATATCCATTAGTATCCTACTAATATCCCATTTTTGTTGATTTAAATCCCCAATTAACTTTTACCCGATGTTCAATATCCATTGATCCCGCTTCAAGGAACACAAAGCTTGCACCCCGTGTCGTTGTCGCATCCTTTGCTCCCCGTGGTGCTTGACGAAGTTCCGTGGCCAAGGCCTGGCCCATTTCAGGAACCGATTGATTGGAGGTACCTACCATATATTTTTGGCTTATTTTTGAGGCCTATGTAAGGGGATATCACCAGAAAATATGGCCTTATATGGTACTAACGTACCTCCATCAATTGGGTCCTGGAATTCCCATTGATTTAAGATCTGATTATTGACTTATTAAGGTGATTATTGGTTATTAATGTGAGTATCCCCTGGCAATTTAACAGTTTGCTATTGAAAACTGCCCATGTATAGTTTATTTACCTTTTAAAAATGGTGAGTTTCCATAGCTCTCTTAGTTTACCAGAGGGTAAAGCCATAGTAAATAGTATCCGCTTTTACCATAACTGGTATAAGCATCAAAGCATGGGTGGTTTGTTATTGCTTTACGAACATCATTAATTCTGAATTGGATTTCATTGGATGGTTCATGGGATTTAATGATTATGGGATGATAGCCTCTAGCGATCACACATGGCAATTGGAAATCCCCGAGCTAAATGGAGGTTTCCTGAAATAGGTGTACCCGAAATCAGTAATTTTAATGGTACGTATTTTCCACGATAAACCATCCATTTGGGGGTACCCCCATTTATGGAAACCCCCAGAGGTTTCAATGGGAAGATGAACTATAAATATGAAATGTTCCATCGTCTTGTTTGATTCCCGAAGGATCTCGCCAGCCATTTTTAGGCAACCCCAGAAAATCGATAGACTTTGGTCCAACCCTACGAAGATTGGGATAAATTGAGACTTTTCGGCATTTTTTTGGTGTTTATAATTGGGATTTAATGGGTATAACGGTATAACTGAGATATATAACTTGGAAATATATGGGTATATCACCAGGTATTCAAAGACATTTAATTGGTATATAACGGGTAATGATGATGAATCATTCTCTTTAGCACTTGTTCACAATTATGAGAATAATTAATGCTATTGTGGGTGGATACATATGTAACCAGAGAATGAATGATGGGGTGTTAAGCAACAAACATATAGCAACAATATAATTTTCGGCGTGGCTGAGATGGAATACCAGCCCATCAAATTGATGTTTTAAAAATATAACTAATTACAATTATACATAGATATACAGATGAACCCCGCAAAAACGGTGGTTAGATTGGAATTTAAGAAAAAACAATGGAGAGTGTGACATGATGTGACATGTGAAGAACACATATGGGATGAGCCTCTCATCGAAGTTGGCGGAGTATGGAAATGGTATGGCGCCCTCTGTATCGATTAGTTGGCTTACCAAATTCCTATTGAGGGCTACCAATTGGGGTCGCCCTTAGGTTTCCATGAGCAAAGCTGATTTTTGATCTGTTGGGATTTCTTTGAACACACTCGGGGTTGTATAAAAACATTTTTTTCAATGAGCCAAAATCACGTTATCGTTTTTTACTTTTATCATTTTTTCAGGTGGTGAGCTCCCTGTAGACAAGAAGTGTGAATTTTCCAGCTTTTCCAAGTCTTGGGGTAGCATTTCCCGTGAATCAGTTGGCAAAGTAAGTATACAGCCATGGGGTGCAAGAGTCACAGAATATAATAGTATTATTTACCAACTTGTGGCACTTGCCATCTGGTTATTTAACATAGCCATGGAAAATCATCATTTTTAATAGGTAAACCCAGGTATATAAACCACCTATAAATGGGCCATTTTCCATGGCTATGTTAGTCATAACCAGAGGGTATACTTATGAAATACATGGCAAACATCCGGCAATCAACATGGCAGTGGGAAATCCTCCATGTAGTTCGGAATTTTCCACTGCCAGGTTTCAATGATCACTGGATAACACCTCTACGCCTCTACGCCACCCAGACCTATGGCGGACTGATACGTTTCTGGAAGAATTTGCTAGAACATATACGAATAATTGTTGGACATCTTTGTGACCTGTGTGTCCACCTCTTATTGAAGCTTGTTCCATGCTTCTCAAGCCTGCCCCATCAATATCGAGACACCACCAGCAAAATACCAGCGAAACTCGGCAGCCTTTAGTTCACCTCTAAGCTCTGCGATATCCTCATGAAGCCTGTCTTGCTGTTTGACAGACCTTGGGAAACAAAATATCACAATCCCAGCAGCGAAGCGCTGTAAGATAAACATGGAAGCATGTTCTTGGAGAAATTCCATAGATTATATCTCCAACATATTCCAGCATACTACTCTTTTGTAGCCTGTTTATTGATATTTCATGATATTTCGAGAAATGTTGTGGAAAGCCAAAAGCCAGGCAATGGAACCGAAACTTGACGAAACTCTGTACAGCTACTAGGGTTTTGCTACATCTACCATCTGGTAAACTAACAGTTTGCGAACTGGAAATCATCATTTATGGGCAAATGATCTATAAATAGGACATGTTCCATAGCTATGTTGGTTTACTGGAGGGTACAAAGAGGAGGGATTTCCAGGACTGTGCAATGGGGCGCTTAAACTAAGCCTAAACTGGCGTGAAATCAAGTCAAATCATCCCCTTCAGGGCCAGTGTGATTATTTCAGATTGGGCTTAACCATGTTTATTGGGAAACAATTCCTTCACACAGGAGAGCCACCACCCTGATGAAAAAATTGAACCTGTGCCGATCGAGGAAAATGTGGTTTACTCTGATTTGCGATGAAATTTTACATCTCCATGGATATGTCTGGTAGTTGTGTGATTGGTTTCATGGATTTTAATGGCGTCTTTTTGGATCATGTACTCCTCTAGGTTTATGAAGCGCCACGACCATTCACGACTTGGTTTGCCGTGTCAGCAAAACGCCAAACTTCTACTGGTTGATCCACTTCCTTTTCGTTGATGCCGCAAGTTTCATCAAATTTCCATAGTTCGCTGATGAAGAATCAAGTTTTGATAATAAAACTATCATGGGTGATAGATCCAATAGAACCGATATGAAACTATACGACGTTCCACCAGCATTACCTAAATCATCGTCTACATCACATCATGAATCCTATCTATTTCCCGGATTTTCCCCGAGTTTTGACAGACAAATCATGATAAATCCACATTGTCACTGCTCAAATTCAAATTTACTGTAGGGTTCGATATTTTAAGAACGCACAATTTGGCATAAGTAATATCAAGATATATCAAGTATATAATCCCCAAGATCCCCCAAGTCTCTAGATTTGCTCCACCAAGTACCGAGTCGCTTGGAGCAGCGCCCAAAGGAAGCGTTCCAAAGTCCCCCGAAGTACGCCGACATGTCGTGGAGGTGAGGCAGCCCGAGATTGACGGGTGCAAATCTCAGGGACGCTATCGCAGGCGATGAAGCGATGAAGGTGATGTGAAATGACGTGAAATGATATGAATATCACTGAATATCATGCATCATATTATCATATTCAAATTTTTTCGGAAGCTGATTTTACTCGAAATTCTGGACAACCTCGGTCTTTGCTGATCCTCGCGGTTTCTTCCACCCGTCTTAGGCGGGCCGCGCGCTGGGTCGAAAATGCTCCAGTCGGCCAAGGACGATTTTTGAAAGACGGTGGATGTCTCACATTTTCCCGATGCGGATTCAGCAATCCCCAATCATCGATCTTTTCATATGGCAGTTGTATGAAGCCAACCTCTGGGGATACAATGGGAATGGGAAATCCACCAAAGGTGACCAGCCATCTTTTTTTTTCTTTGAAACTTCTATGTCGGCCGGACCTGAACTAGCCCTTTGGGGGGGTGGGTTTGGTTGCTAAATCTTGGGAATAAAAACCCGGGCCGCTCGATTTTGGAATAGCCAAAGGTTGGGCAAATTCATTTTGGATATTAGTCACTACAGCTTTTTCACCAGTGATGCTTTAAATGTAGAATTGAATTACTTCGATTTTGGTTTCTGAAGAATTTCTGGATCCAAAACATGAAAACTCAGTGGGGCCCGAACGGCTGTCTGATCTTGTCCATGGTCATGCGCCATAAGCTGAGTCATATAGTAATTCCTCATTGTGTTTCCTTTGGGTGAACATATTCGAAAACATGATTTGATGTATCTAGTTGATTTAGTTCTTTTAATGTTTTTTTAAGAATTCCAATGTTGCATGATGTTTCAGTGATATCTCATGAAGCGTGCGTCACTCCCACATTTTTGATGAAAAGAGTCTGATTTCTTGACCTGGTAGTCTGGTCGGGCGGGTCCAGGTAATCAGGCGGTTGTCCTCTTGTAGGGACCTCGGTCAAGGGGGAAATCTAGGATTTAGATGGGTTCATTATGGTTCATACCCATTTCACACAAAGAAGTCCAAATATCATGATTGAAAACTATGGTTGACCATGATGGAGCCAAAAGTTGGACAAAACATGGAACACAATGGAAAACACCATCCAACAAATGCTTTTAACAACGGATTATTCATTGGTTTCAAAGGGCTCAATAATCTTTATGAAACGAGTATGAAACCAATAAGGGCTTGAATGGCAGCAAGAAAATGGAAGAAACATTGAAACAACTGCAAGTTTCTAATGGGTTTTCTGAATCTCTTTCATTTGATGGTTAGATCTTGGTGAACATTTCGACATGGCGATTTGGACACAGCAGAGGCCTAAATCGAAGTTCCGATATGACGGATTCCTGGTTAAATCATCCCACCAGAGACCGTGAAAAACCTCGCAGCTAGGGCCCAAAACTGAAGAAAACCGTTGATAAAATAGCCATCCTCGCAGCGGCAGCTTTCTTCCATTCGAAGAAAGAAAGAGGAAAGAAACAAGGTTGATTAAATAGAAGAGCTGAGAATGCTCCCAATTCTGGGTCTCAGATTCCCCTAAAATGTCAAAGTCTAGCCGTTTTGTTAGATTTGAGCATGAACAGGGTCCAAGATCTCTCACCAAAAAAATGCCAACACGGGTGCTTCATGCGGGTTCTCTTCGTGCAAAACTTCAATCTTCGTTTTCCAGAAGGGGCTAACCTGAAGACAGCTAAAGCATCACGAGCTGCGACCCCAGTTTCACCCTTGCAACTGTAAATGGATGTGGCAATGTGGGTGAACACCATTGAAGAATACATATGTCCATGGATATGAAATCACACACACACATATATATATATATATACACACAGATAAACACATGTGCCGCTTCACTTTCCCAAGGGCCTAGGGCCCATTTAATCATCTACCACCGATCAGCCATTCCTTTCTGAACGCGGCATTGAATCGAGGCTTCGTCGGAGGCTCCCCTGTTCCATCAAGACGTGTAGCAACAAATTCTGTGATGATTCCGAGCACGTAGATATCTTATGATAGCTTAGCTTATTGAAGCATATTGAAGCAACGATTTTGCACACAAATCCGCCACTTTGTGGTAAATCCGGCGAAAAAACTTCGAAACGGTTCCTCAATGTTCCTCATAATCTCGTCTTCCAAGCATCGACATCGATATCATGGGGTTCCACCAAGCCGAATGTTCAAATAATACATCAACCATGCAGGTCGAATTCACTAGCCAGCTTACCGACATTGGAATCATATTCCTCAAATGATGCCGAAGGTCCTAAAAAGATGCCGAAGTTTGGTTCGATGCCTTCAACTTGTCATTCTATGTTATTATTTTGCTAGGATTTTGCCATATTTTGCCAACTTCTACCTTTTTGGTAATTACGATATGACCATAGCAGATCCTGACCATGGATGATAGATTTCTCTGATCAATGGGACGTGTACAAATGATGACATCATCACAGTTACCACTGAATAAAATCGAAAATAGCCCAATGACTGTGATGAAGGCTTTGGGGAAAACCTAATTTGTGTGAAAAAATCGGGAAAACACCCAAACATAATTTGGATGATCATATTTTTCGCATTTTTGTAGCGATATATGATTTATCACTTGTCAGTATGGTCGGGGTATCTTCCGGGGTGTGAGGAATGGGAACCACTAAATCTGGATGAATGGGAACCATACAGGAATATGCAGGGTACAAGCATGGTTTCCCGTAGAATTACATCAAACCATTCAATGCTACAATTGAATGAGCATTTTTGCTAAGTACCGCGAAATCTCATGGTGTTGTTTGCTTAACAGTAACGTGCGCATTTTGGAAATATGTTTGCATGATTCGCAGGTTGGGTGTTTTCAACCCCCGTGAACGACATGCTCATTGGGATCCCAACACATCATATTTTTTGATGATCATGACTATCTTCAAGCTGATCCAGTATCAAATTTAAATAATTCAGAAGACACTTGGAGAACCGAGTAAGCCTTTTGGAATCTCAACTAGTTGCCCTTTGGGTTTGGAACGGTATTTTTCTGTATGATCTCTGGAAATCTGATCAAATTTGAACAGGGGCTATTGAATCCCGTCAATAATAAAACCATGTTCAACCCAACTATCAACAAACAAACAAAAAGAGCCCCAACCTTTCTCACGAGAAATCAGCACCGCTAAACCCACTAATCATGGCTTACCTTAGCTCCTTGGCAAGTGGACTTTTGGATGATGTGCATATTTCCTCATTTCGGGAAAGGAAGCAAAGTGTCTTAACATTACCCTTTTGTAATTTAACATAACTCATAACCATGGCAAATAGCAGTGTTTAAAAGATAAATGGATATAAACGGATCATTTGGCATGGCTGTAGGTTGAAATTGCATGAAAATACTCTTAACTGCCCATGCGCAGTTGAAGTTGCTGATTCAGGGGCCATGAGCAAAATAAAACATATTTCCAATAGGTGTCCCATTTCCGGTGGATTGAGCAATGGGAAAGCTAAAAAAACACCAACTCAGCGAAAAAACAAGATGAAAATGGATTAAGTATCCCCATATTTTCTGAATGTATTAGGCAATATTATTAACTCATATTTTCCCTCGCTTTTCACCTACAAAAACACCAAGCTCTCAGCCATACTGATCAATGCGCCAAACGCGCACCGCGCCTCAGATGAACGCAACACGAACAAATGGGCGAAGCCAAGCCAAACGCAGGAAAAAATCAAAGTAATGTGGGCATTTGGGAATGTTTATACCACCTATTTATGGTGATTTGGGGAATGGTTTATTATTGTTTTACGCGTGTTAATCCCATTTGTCCCAACCAAAAATGATGTAAATCAAAAAATAACCACCTCACCAACCTGAAAGGTTTGGCCAATCAAGGGTTTCGTATATTTACCATGATGTATTTCGTGACTTCGTGGTAAAGTCGTTACAAGCCACCCGAAAAATCGTACGCAAAGTTTAAACCCGTAAAAAACAATATTTTTCAATATAATCTCTGATTATATAAAAAGATCGTGTTGAAACAAATATTGCGGCGAAGTGATGTTTGTTGACACCCAGTTCTGGGGCAAATGTTCTGCACGCACACTTCGTAGGTTTATATCAAGCAACGTGTAAAAACCAAATCACAATCTGCAAAAAATCTTTCGCACGGATTGATCAAGAAGCGGCCAACACATGTGTTTGAGGGGTATTTCCACGATGGCCAAGACGTTACCGAGTGTAAGCACGATACGAGAACCAAACATATTCCATATAGCGGGTGGGTGAGCACCAGAGTGGCTAATTTTCAAATGTCCTCAGCCACGCTTGGTTTTCAAAAAAAAGTCGCCAGGTAGTTAGATAGATAGATAGATAGATAGATAGATAGATAGATAGATAGTTAGATAGATAGATAGATAGAGAGATAGAGAGATAGAGAGATAAAGAGATAGAGAGATAGAGAGATAGGTAGATAGGTAGGTAGGTAGGTAGATAGATAGGTAGATAGATAGATATAAGGACAACGATGGATGCTATATACAGGTGTATATTATTATACATCTATAAACAAACATGGTCCTGTCCAAAAAAAAGATCATCCTGTCATGTCAAAATCCAATGGTTTATCATAATTGCCCAGGTTCATGGCCAATCTTGGAGACGTCTTTCAGCTGATTAGGTGAAGAAATCTCCAATGGCATGACCCAGCATTAAGACTGCAATCCTCCAGGGTATTCCCAATTCTCAAATACACTCAAACCATCCCAAATTATAGATGTTTGTTATATCTCACAATGATATCCCATAATATCCGAAGTTGGTTGGTCCTATAGTTACCCCAATTGGTTTTTTAGAAATGAGTTACATGGCACCAAGTCATGGTCATCCATGACTTGGATGACTTGGATGATTTGGGGTTAGCCTTATATTAGGAACCCCCCAATTCTGTCTTGCCCTCTGGTAATTTAACAGTCTGCTATTGAAAATAGCCTATTTATGGTTGATTTACCTATTCAAAATGGTGGATTTTCTATAGCCAACTGTTAGTTTACCAGAGGGTAATCCCGCCCACAACCAACCATGGCACGGTCAGTTGAAGACGAGAAGAGTCGGTTGCCCACCGTTTCCAAGGCCGTGACTGCGCCTTTGTGGCCTTGTAACACGTCCTGGGGAAGGCTGGTGGGTTACCACGTGGGACCCTGCAGGTACAGGTGAATTATACCTAGGATAACTAAGGATAACTAAGGATAAAAAAAAGGTTGCTTAGTGGGTTTATAAGTTTATAAAAAGTATGGCTGAATATGGTCAAGTGGATTTAGAAACCAACTTATATCTGGGGCCCCTTGTATAGCCTCTGGCCATCAAGATGGCACTGCAACATCTTCTACAAATGGGCGACTTAATGGTAAACCAAGCTATTAAACGGGTGTTAAGGTACTTCTTCGGTGAATCATTCGCAGCTTAAGATTCCCCGCACAAATGGTAACCTCTGGGAAGGGGTTGGTTTAATCCCTGCGACCAAATTTCTGGGGATATTTTTTCCATATTCCATATTAGATTTAGGGGGCCTCTGAAGAAACCTGAAGTTCCACGGTAGCTGGGTTTCCGCAAATCACAAATCAGTCGTCGTCGGAGACATGTTGCAGTCACAAGGGTGTGTCTCCCAAATTGCGGACAGCCCCAAACCCTGGTATTCCACGCTAAATATGATTCGCTTTGGTGAGTATTTGACCCCCCAATTTCCGCAAACCTTCATATGGGCGCCCCGTGTTATGTTGGACATTGTTTTTCTTGAAGGCTTTCCAGACCCATCAGGAAAATATCGCAACCGCGACAGAAAAAATCAAAAGGACCACGGGAATGATGACTGTTCAAATGGTGATGATGATGATGAAGATGATGATGATGATGCTGATGCTGGTTGTGGTGGTGGTCGTGGTGGTGTTGATGCACTGATGAACTCATGGGCTGACGAACTGGTGAGCTGATGTGATGGATGACACAACTTTTTTCTGCAGTGATCCATTTCTGATGCTTTCCCAAAACCCTATGGGATTCACCAAGCTTTGCCCAAACCAACGCCATCATGGATTTGTCCAACAATTGATGAAAGTTATATACATATATATATATATATATACATATATTTATATAAATTTATAGTGGTACCTAAAAAAGGTAGTGAACCATCACGTTCCCAAAGCGAAGAGTTTGCCAGTGGCAAGATCAAAATACGCCTTCCGAAAATCTAAAATTCACAAGTTCATACCCATACTGGCAACAGTATCTCATGTTGGTTTTTCCATATGATTCCCCGGTTTTCACATGTTTCTCCAAAAAACATGGTATTTTTTTCGTATTCAACCCGTATGAAAGAGCCACAGAAACCCGACTCACCTGGCACTGAAGTTCACCATCCCAAACCTTTACAACGCCATCCTGCAAAATCGATGGGACTGGGGTTTCCACATGGCATCAACGAATTGCTTTATTTGGAAATATCAAACAGATAGGCAAACAGAGAGATAAATAGATAGATGGATTAGTGAATGGTTAGATAGGTATACTGATGTGTTGTGTCTTTACATGTTAATTAAAAAATGGTATATAATAATATATAATATGGAAAAACCAGTCACGTATAGAAATATAGACATTAAACAATGTATATGTACATTTATGGCACCCTCACTCGAATCACCAACCATCATCAAGCACTCTTGCAAACTTTTGGCAGTGCGTGGGGGCGAGCTTATACATATTATATAAATATAAATATATATATGGATGCAAATAAGCAAATAGTCATATAAATGCAAACGTCAACGAAACATACATATCTTAAAATGGATGAAGATCAGGACTACCATGGAATAGATTTAACTTCTGTAGGGGTGAAAAATATAGAACCCCCTTGGTTGCGGATGGTTGAATCGAAAAACCGACGCCAATGTTGTTGGCCGTACCCCAATCCCTGTGGGACATAGCGCTTCCATGAAATCATGGTCAAAGATTGGGATTCGATGGTTCCTGACCTCAAGCCCAGAGTTGGATAAAGTGATAAAAGGCGAGGAATGCCTTGATTTTTGATGCTCAAAAAATCTTCGGGAAAAAATTCCCTTAAATCAACCCAACGATTCATAGGGCTGATGGCTTGGTGCGACTGTAAATTCGAATCAGCCATGGCTTGTCTTTAAAAAGTGCGCGCCATCCGGACTTGTCAGGCCCTCAGGCCAGGCCAAAAGATCAAAGCGGTGGCCTTTAAAATGCCACCAATCTTTTTGAAAGCGAATGGGTTAAACATGGCTAAACTCAAGGTGATTGGGGTACCCGATTGGAAAAGCGGATGGCTGACCAATTCACCCATCTTCAAACATCACCCGTGGCGAATCTTAGGTAGCCAATCTCAAATAGGCTGCACAAAAAAACATCTCTTTAGCTGGAAAAATATTACAATCGGATTACGGGTTCCAATATTCATACACCATCAATGTGAATTATTCATTGCTTAAGCCCCCGTTGTTCACCATTGTTGGGTTTTAACTAGGCTCCCAAAGAATTATGATGAAACACATTGAGTTCGAAGCGACCTTATCTCCGGAAGGGCCTTCACATGGAGTATATCTCCATTGATCCCTTTCACATCCCTATCACCTAATATTAGACACCACCCAGAAACCATAGTTTAGTTGCAAATTTCCAGATATTTGGCACCATGGTTCGGGTGTGTTGAATATTCCCCACATGCGGTAATCAAACACGCCTCCATGTCCCTCCCTAACCTCTCCCTATGTCCCGTAAAGGTCGACCCTAAATGGTTGTTGTTCTACATAAAGGTATGTTTAGGTCAATCTGGGTGCAAGTGAATCGTTTCCATGGGAAATCCTCAGTTCGATGATTTCCCTATGAAAAAACCGCCAGTTCCACCGCCGTCCTTAGATCCAGAGAACAAGATGTCGTCGCTGGGCGACCTTGCTAGTTTCCATGGCTTAGCTTCTGGCTGATCTGGCAACTGAAACTTAAAAACCAAGCCTGCACAAAAAAAAACATGGGATTTGCATAATGGGGCCTGCAATATATTTGCATGTATGTATATATATATAAATAAGTATATTATATCTATTTGTGGGTGTGTCCATTGAATTCCCCGTTTCTGGCGGATGAACCAGTCCGAAAACTGCAGCAAATCCAGGAAAAAAGCACACGCTGGGTTGTGGTAATGGTTTATGAGATAGATCAATGATTCTTGTCGTCATTGGCCTAAACCATGGGGTCATTGGAGTGTGGGTCCCTGTGCCAACAGCAAGGCATCCATTTTGATGGCACTGGGTTGGACATTTGGAATGACAGTGGGCACCATACGCAGCTTTTTTAAGAACAACGGGTGAGATCTTCAATCGTGCTTGGAATACTTGGGGAAATTCAGGAACTGCAAAGTTGCTTTACCTTACAAATTAACGTAGAGATGGAACCCCACCGTGTGTAGATCACTTACTACACAAACAACGGGCCTTCCTATACAATAATGTATTCGCACACACATATATATATATATATCTTTGTCAATTGGTCTGGAGTTCACATTGTGCAAACTGGACTCACCAGAGACATGGCTCTTAGAACCCACCAAAAAAAACAGTCCACGTAAAATTGCCTCAAATTTGGTGACCGGGACCGGGCATTTCCACAGGTACTTCCCGTGCCTGCAAAAAAATCTATAAACAAAATCAGTGCAGGGTCTAAAGAATCTATCAGCATCATAGCCATCCAGATTCTTGTTCCCATCATTTCCCATCCGCATCGTGATCCCTCCTCCCATTGCGGCCCCAAGACATACACAAACTCTGAATCCAATCACCGTGGACGTGGAGAGTGTGCATCGTGTTGGTCAGCGAATACATGTCCCATTCCTTGATGGATCTATCGCCTCAGTCGAAATCATCTCATGGGGTCCATCCTCCAGTCATCACCATTTTTATAGGTGGTATACACTATTCCCAGATGGCTGGTTTTATGGCATTGTTTTACCCACATGACCAAATTTTAAGAAATGCTGGTTGATTTTTCGGCTTATTAAAATGATCTTCCAAAATGATCTGGGGCCTGGGGATTATCCCCTGTGCTTTGGCGAATGGGAGCAGAAATCACATCAAAAACCGCAAGCAAGCCATCGATGCAGAAAGTGAAGTTTCCCAATGTTGCAATGTCGATCCGAAAAATCGTCAAAAACTGTACCTGAACTGGGACAGGCCGCGGGATCCGGAGTAGAATTTCCCATGTTTGGCAGCCACAGCGATGCTGGTCACACCGTCATAGTGCGGTGGATGAAGTGTCCTGAGATTCAGCAACGGCCATGGAAAATTCTACCATAAGTGGGTGGTAAAAGCCATCCCTAAATGGTAGGATTATTATTGGGTTGCCCGCATTATATATATATATAAAGCATTCAAGGTACAAATAAAATGGTAATAGCATCGTATATATATATATATAAATACACACAGTGCTATGTATTTCTATCGGTACATGAATGGGCTGATGGGCATATGCAGGTGCGGATTTTCAATCCGAAACAAACACCAGCCGGTCTGGGCCCTCCCTCTACGCAGGATATTCCCGGCACTTTTGTCAAGTTCCTTTCCTGAATTATTGGAATTCACTAGCCTGAAAATAGCTGTTGTCATACGCCGATTTGGGGATGCTTCCTGAAGGTCATTATGATTCATCCAGCTTTCCTAAACCGGTGCAAAAATCGAAACTGTGGTTCGTTCCCCCCAAGCATGTTCCAGTCAATCAGCACGGATCCAATATTTGAGGTGTCAAACTCAATGTCTGTTGGTGGTTTGGATCACCAGTCCAGGCACTTGTTCACTGTCCAAGTCGAAGTATCCCACACCTTCAGTGAACGATCGCGCGCACCAGAAACCACCTCCGAGCGGATCATGGTGGGATGCTACATGACATCATGGAGTGAAACCATCTCTACAACATGACATGCAATGCTAATAACAATTTAATACAACGATTATCTACGAAGATCCCATGGCTATCCTTAGCAAACTGCCAGTGATGGGTTTGCCCATGGTGCCCCGCCTGCACAGGAGAACCAAATTTTTCCAGCGCGAACACGCCGCCCAAATGCGATTGTTCTAGGCAGGAAACGACCTGAAACTGGGAGTTTAATGATGCGAAAACCAGGGGTTGGTTCTTTAACAAAAAATATCAAATCAACCCTGTTTCATTTCGTTACTGGAAACTATCTTCTACGTGAAAGTGACGGTTTGTTTTTCTGTGAAAAAACGCGGGAAACTATGACGAACAATGGCTTGAATTAACCCTGTTCGTTTAGGAAAAAAATCTTGCAGTTTTTGTTGGCACAGGACAAAACATCAATTCATTGTATGACACAATCCTCCTCTATGTGTGGCAATGAGCACATGGCCTTAAATGTTTTGCACCGGTCCACCATTTGGTTGGGAATCTCCAATTAGCTCCTCAGCTCCCCATTTCACCATTTCATAAGCGGAATGTGAATACCCCTAGCTCCGAACGCTCAACTTCCATCAGCATAGGATGTTCCCAACAGCTACCCTGGGCCTCGTAAGTGCCAAGGTCCCAAATTCGGATGGATCCTTGGCAAAAAGCTGAGCCTGACCACTTTTTCGAATTATGTGAGCCAAGATCTCCCATCCCTTGTTTACCTTGAATCGACTACGAAGAATAGGCTAAAGTCTCGGGTCTTCCACGGTTTGAGCTGTGAACTTGGACTCCAAGACTTGGACTTTGGTAGTGCTTACCTGCTCCATCCTACTCGGAGCACTGAAGCTGTATGCAGCCGGAAATGCCATGTTTGATTCGCGTTGTCAATGCGAAAAAGCAACCGCTTTCCACTCCCCCATCTCAAAACGACATCTTGCTCGCGCCATGGCCATGACCCACAATGCCCCAAGCCCTTTACCTCGTAAAAAAAATCGCAAACGCCCCTTGGGCCTACCTTTCTCGTGAAAGCCTCTCAACACCCAAAACGGCCTACAACTTGCATATGTGATGGGTCAGACTCATCCAACATCCTGTTAGATACGGCATCCATATGACAACGCACCTGTCGCGCGGAAGAAAGCTAGCAGCTATAATGACAAAAGGTTTGCTGATCGATGTTTCCCCGTTGCCACTTGGCGATCTGAGTTGGATTTTGTGTACGTCAGAACAGTAGCCACGCACAAGAGTCAGTGTTTGCCCAGTTCAAATTCAAATACAATTAGCAATGGAAATTATGCAGTCAAAAGGTGGAAACGTTGCCACTTCCGCCCGCCAACATCTGTGTGTTTCCAGCAGTTTTTCCCAAACAACGATTCTGAAAAGTATCTCTTTTGAAAGGTTTGAATCGCCGGGCATCAGGGTGGCAGCCGCATCTTATGTGGCAATTCTTATGCAGTCTCCATCCTTTTACCACAAGCTTCTGGCACAATCCCGAATTTCTTGCACAGAAAAAAACTGGCAATGATGATGGTGCAACCAAATACTTGAGCTACTAAAAGGCCCCAACATGCCCCAACACATCTGTAATGGCAGAATGAATATACAATGTTTACACCAGCTCAAGCAAAGCATCGAAACTAATAGCAGCTTCTGGCATTTCTCAAAAGGATTGTCTGAAATAGGCAGAGTACCTTTTATAATCCCAGTGTTTTGGTATATTCTCGTGTTCACCAAAACATGAGCTGTAAGTTGGGGCAATCGTCTGGAAAGAAACCCAGGATCCCAGGCCGATTTCTGAAGAATGAAACTTTAGACACTACTCTCTGGTAAACTAACATAGCTGTAGAAAATCACCATTTTGAATAGGTAAGTCAATTATAAATGTGGTATTTTCAATAGCTATGTTAAATTACCAGAGGGTATCCGTTCAAGGTTTCCCAGCGAAAAACTTGCGAAGTGTTTCAAAGGAAGTGACAAGAACTAGCCACTGATCATCACATGTCATCACTGATCTCAGAGTACCCTCACAGTCCGCGTGCGATGTTTCGAATCACTCAAATCACTCAGTCATGTAATGGCAGACGTGTCATGGGCATGGGCCTAACTGTCCTTTGAAGCATGTTGGCCTTGCAATAGACTTTTTTTTCATCCTAACTAACATGGAAATCCAAAATGGCTATATCCTAATTAATCATATTGGAAAGTCCCCTTTCAGGCCTTGTCTCAAAAAATCTGGGTCTGTAACTTTGCATTGTTTCGGCCAAAGGCCCCCAAATATGGACAAAATCTTTCCAAAAAACTGTGCCGACGTTCAAGAAGTCCGAAGCTCCTATGCACTTGATACATCAACGTCTTTAAAACCTGTTGGTATCGCAAGGTAATCTGGCACCCTGGTACCAATTCCCTTACGAAAAAACAACAGTCGTTGGTAGTTGCGAAACAACTTGGTGAGCCAAACCAGATTTCCCTTCCTTCACCTTCTGTGGGTTTCAACAAAAGCGTATGGGGAAGCGATGATTTTCATCATCTTTACAGAGGGTTCTTGTAAAATCCATGACACATGTGCATCATTGATTCCTGTGCGAATCCCCTTGCCCAATACTGCATATAGGTCGAAACATGTTGTTCTGGTGAAACCGCATTTCTATGCATTTCTCGGTTTGTTGTACCGGGTTGACGCAATGTCAGTTGCCAATGAAATATTAATTATTAAGTTGTCTCTCTATCTGCTTTCACTTGCTTAGTCGGCAAACTTTAGCACATGAAACTGTGATTTTGGGGGCACTTAACATAATTATTCGTCTTTGAAGTGCCAACCCATTTTTACAGCAATCCCCAAAACAAAAAGAACATAAAAGAACTGCAATTCATATGATTTCATTAGGACTTTATCTCTTTTCTAGTGATTGTTATCAACATCTTGCAAACAGAAGGCTTTTAGCAGATTTGAAGGATCGTTGAGGACACCCTGCTGTGGTGATTGTCGGGACCCACCATGGTTGTGGTGATCATGACAATGACGCGATGACAAAAAAATGAAAGTTATGATGGAAACAATGATGATAATAGTGAAGAAGAAAATGATGATGAAAAGCGGAGCAGGGTTTAATGCCTTATAATGCCTTCAATTCACCCGCCAAAACCGTACAAAGACATTCTTTCGAATTTCTTACAGCACACAACATATATTCCCACCAGATGATTCGCAGAGCGCACACCCAGAAATGCTGCCACCCGGTGGCAATTCATGGGCCCCTGTCAGCTACACTTACCCTTATTTTGCTATATTTTGCTTTTAGCTGCAATTTCACGTGTGTTTGCTAGTGTTCAGCAGGGTTCAACATATGACTGCATGGTATCCCATTAGTTCCAGTTGTTTGTTCATCCTCATCATTTCTCGATAGATCTTTTCAATTTGATTGAAGACATTTTTGGTTGGTGAAAATTAAAACTGCGGGGGTTGTTGGTTAAGCTGTGCCCAATTGCATGTCAAATTTTCTGACAGTTAATCATCTGTTTTCTGGTAACAGGCAATCTTTATAGCCTTTCCACTTCACTTCCATCTTTTGATTTGCATGACATGCCACCTCCCTCAAACACACAAAGAAAACCGATTCCCCATGTATCCATCTTGAAACACATGGAAAGCTTTCACCTTCCCACTAAACATGGACACACATGTCGTTTTGAGCGCTAAGTTTTTCAACAAAAAAAATGCTGCGATTTCACCTTCGCTGCTACTGGGCCAAGATGGGCCAAGCATCTGTCCTCCGAGCCCGAAATCAACAGATCCAGGCTTTCCAGTATTAAGACCTCGTTTTTCTAGCACGAAATGGCTGCTGCTGGAAGAAACATGTGATGGGCAATGGGTCAAAAGTCAAAACGTGTCACAACTGTCACAACCCAATGTCCCTGTATTTCACGTGAGAAAAATCAAAAATATCTTGGGACGTTTATCCACAAAAATTTGGGGAATATCGACCATTTCGTCACATACCAACACATATGGATTTGAGGAATGACATATTGATTTGAAGCATGACTAGATTATGCTGGATTTGTGCGGACATACCCCTTCCAATTACAAAGGTATGGCAAATTTCATGGAGAACAGGAAGTTTTTTCTGGGGAAAATGCCAGAAAATTCTCAATTACCCAAGTCTGTAATGGGTTGCCATCATGAACAACATGTTTTTTTGCATTCTGGAACCCATTGACTTATGTTTTCCCGATTGACCTCTACAGCTTCTTGCCTTCTAATTTTCAATTGACTACATGGCCTGTACACGTTTGGTTTCATGACCCATTGGTACCCATTTCTCACGATATCCATTCGTGAAGTGATGGTTGCACTCTGAAAGATTCTGAATCCCAAAAAATGCGGTTTCCAGGAAGATAATCGTTCCAACCCTTTGGAAAAATTGAAAATTAGGATGTTTTAGGCTTTGGGGTGGGTATGCCCTCTCTCTTACCATCTGCAAAATCCATCGGAATTCTCTAAACAACATAGTTCCCTACAGTAATTCTATTCTTCTTTTACCACATGTTATGTATATGTGAGGCCTGTTTTGTTGGGAATGCTCCCTCATCCTTGTCTCAAAATTGGAAAGCCAATCAATGTGAATAAACCTGGTGATTTTTGTCATCTATTTGCCTCGCGGACACATGTTTATTCGTGGCCAATCTTAATGTCTTGCACTAAACATCCCTTGGTTAGAATCACAATATCACCATCCACGGCAAGAACTTCATATTATTCACTCCGGGGTGAAACGTGGCAATGGAAAATCACCAATTTTGTAGATGTTTGTTTCCAGCTAGACACCCCAATTTTTAGATGAGTTCCTATTGCCACATTAAACATCATCAAATGTTAGTACTGACCAATAATCACCATATATCACCATGATTAAGCCATACATAACCAAAAAAACGCAAATATCGGGTACCAACGGGTTAAGTAAAAAAAATATCCGTGGATACATGATCATTATATCCACTACATAAAATTATAAACCTATATACCGATAGTGGTTTTATCCAAAAAGTATCCACTAATATCAGCTTTAATGTGGGTAAAGCAATGCCTTAAACCATCCCCCAGTCATCACCATTTTTATAGGCGGTATGTTTACCATTCCCAGTCACATCATTCCCAGTCATGGCTGGTTTATGGCATTGTTTTACCCACATGACCAAATTTTAAATGCTGGTTGATTTTTCGGCTTATTAAAATGATCTTCCAACATGATCTTCCAAAAATATCCGTGGATACCTGATCATTATACCCACTATATAAAATTATAAACCTCAATACCGATAGTCCGATAGTTGCTTTATCCAAAAAGTATTAGTCAGATTGGATCATCATCCCAAGTATTGGGGAAAAAAGGTTCCAAACCACCAACCAATGGTTTTATCCAAGAATTCTTCACATAGAAAATCAGGTTTACCCCATAGAAAATCTCAGAAAATCAGCGTTTTGGAAACCAGGTCGCAGCATTGACGCCACCTACATGGCCCATCAACGTCTTGACGGTGGAGAAGGTTTCCAGGCTCCACACTCGGATGGTGCGATCCTGAGAACCTGCTCCGGGTGCATGGGACAAGCATGGGACATACCAACTGAAACCCAAGGGTTTTTATGGATTTGTTTGGCCCACAAGATGGGTTTTAATATGTTTTACTATGCTTTATCTCTCCAGAAATGTGGTTTTAACATCTTTCAACTGGTCCAAAACAAGGATTTAATAGGAATAAAGGACATGTGATGGAACAAGGAAACAAAAGAAATATGTTGTAGAATGTCGTAGATGTGACGGATTAATGTATAGAAATTAGAATGTGGAAAATTGGCAAGCAACAATTTTGGTGAATATGGTGGGGTACATCATCCATGTATAGATATTCTACTGAATTTCCCACGAAGTTGGGATTTTAAATCCCGCCATGTCGAATTAGCAAAAGGTACCCCGCTTGCAAGCCAGTTATTTTCTAGAGATAAGCTTGCGCATCGAGCAGAACAGTTCTAGATCCCAACAATTATACAATTTTGGTGATGTCTGGATCTCCATTTTGCAGATATCAACATGTTTTGCGATTTAGGGAGCTACACTTCTGAGTTTATGGCCGTTCAGCACAGGGGAAATAATATTATTTGATTGGTTCAAATGTTTTTTTTGAGCGCAAGGCCCTTTGCATCATGGCCAAACTTGGCTACGCTGGCCTTGAAATTGCAACATCTTAAGTAGTAAGCTATGGGTTTGTTCCCGACCTGCCAGGTGAGGGTTGTTAGATTTTATCAGAGCTGTTCTCCTCCTCCTCCGCATCCTCCTCCTCCTCGTCCTCCTCCTCCTCCTCGCAGTCCAGATCCCAGTGGGCACAGCCGGACCTCCACTGCGAGCGCCAGATCCCAGTGGGCACTGCCGGACCTCCACCGCGACTTCCAGATCCCAGTGGGCACTGCCGGACCTCCACCGCGAGCTCCAGATCCCAGTGGGCACTGCCAGACCTCAACCGCGACTTCCAGATCGCAGTGGGCACTGCCGGACCTCAACCGCGACTTCCAGATCCCAGTGGGCACTGCCGGACCTCAACCGCAACTTCCAGATCGCAGTGGGCACTGCCGGACCTCAACGGCCAGATAGAATGCCAGAAGATATGCCAGAAGATATGTCAGATAGAATGCCAGAAGATATGCCAGAACATATGCCAGAACATATGCCAGATAGAATGCCAAAAGATATGTCAGATAGAATGCCAGAAGATTTGCCAGATAGAATGGCAGAAGATATGCCAGATAGAATGCCAGAAGATATGCCAGATAGAATGCCAGAAGATATGTCAGACAGAATGCCAAAAGATATGTCAGATAGAATGCCAGAAGATTTGCCAGATAGAATGCCAGAAGATATGCCAGAAGATATGCCAGAACATATGCCAGAAGATATGCCAGATAGAATGCCAGATTAAGAAAATGTATAAATGCCATGGTGGGGATCATTTGAAGTGAAGTATTTTTTTTGTGCACCTGTTTTGGGTGCTTTTTCGACATGCTTCCCAACATCCTCATCAAAATGGCAAACACATCAGTCAGCTTGTCCATATCTTGAAGAAGGGAACCATACAAGTCAATGTTGTATCTCAATGAGTATCCAATGCCCAACCCTAGCTACCAAACCAAAAATGAACACAGACTGTCACACAAACACACACGCACACACACACATATATATGTATAATATATTTATATACACACAGGAAACAATGTCATACATGTGTAACTACATATGCAGGTGTATGATATATATATATAGATATATATATGTAAATATACATGCACGTACACATACACAATTACACACAAAACATACACGCATACATGTGTAAAAACAATGACAAACATCCACTCGGGTCGCCCGTGGCCTGAGCATAGGACCTTCTTGGCATAGGAGGCATGGAGACACTTCACGAAGCCCCGATGCCCGGGCAAAGTACCGATGTACTGCAGGTTGTTGAGGTCCCAAATCATGATACCTCGTGGGTGGCCGGTGAACTCAATGGATCAGAAGTTTTTTTTTTCGTGGTTTTTACCAAAGATTCGCCATAAAAGAAACCCCAAAAATCAACTTGATGAGTTTGAAAAACACCATCCCCAAATGGTAGATTTATGGCATTGGATACCAGTGATGCCGCGGCAGCTAATTCAACTCACCCTTCCCCTGATTTTCTTCGGCGCAGAGTGCCGCCCAATGGCAACGGAACGGTGTACACATATATGTTGATACATGTTTATATATGTTTAAATAGATATAGTTGATATATATGTTTATATATATATGTTTATACATGTTTATATATGTTGATACATATATGTTTAACCTATACATTTTCAAAGGTATGATTGTAGTCAGTTGTGGAGGCTATATACTTGGGGAATAGCCTCTGGCATCGCCAAACCTGAGATGGAATGGTTATTTGCTATTTCTATAGGAGTTTGAATATTCCCGTGTATCTGAAGTTGGAAATGTGAAGCAAATGGGATTCTGCCAATGGTGAGGTTTGCCCATTGTGGTTTACCTTCATAGGTCGATGGTGGTTGCTGAGTATTTTTTTGCTAGGGTGTCCTGGGGGTTGCCCGAAACAAAACAACATGTACAAATCAATTCAGCAAATGACTGGACAATTGCTGACCCTGAGATCCCGAAGTTATCACATGCTATAAATACATCCAGTGAACTTTAGATTTTCCCGGGCAAAATATGGGAGTTTTCGCATACTCACAGCGCCAAGCTTCTACTATCTTGCGACCCTGTGAAGAGGATATCGCCCACGCCACACAGGCACAATACCTCATCAGCATGTCACGGGAGCCTCTGTATATTTGCTATTTCATGTTTTTAAGAACCATTAAAAACGTTGGTTGATTCATGTTGATTCTGTTCATTGTGGAACATTTTTTAACATGAAAACATTTCAGAACAAAGCCACACTTCAAGCGGCCCGTTTTTTTTCGACCCTGGTGTCATCTGTGGGAACAGTTCGTAGAGGATGATCATAAACTTCATCTGAAAAAGTTAACTCGGAATTAGTATGAATATAGTTGATAGTAAGATTTCTGGTATGATAAAACAACATCATATATAATTATAATATGATGAATATGGAAGAAAGTAGGTTTTTCTTACCATCCCCTTTCATATTGAAACTTCATTGCTATGTACATATGAAAGTTGCTCATTTTCTTAATGTTCTCTCTTCCACGCATTTGGCAGTCACAGCACCCGGGAAGTGACGTGGACACCTGGGAAAAATCTAGGAACATCAAGGGATGCCCACAATTTTTTGAACCCATTTTAATCAATCCGGTAGCTTGCTTCGTTGAACCATCATTTACCAACTGTTAATGGGTTTATCCTACTAATTGGAGGATCATCCCATTTCGTAGCTGGTTAGTGATCCTGGTTATCAAGTCCCCTAAAAGCTGAACTGTAAGTTACAACCCCGCTCGCTGATCACTCCGGAGTTGTAGAATACAACCACGAATTTGGCCGATTTGAAGAAATTCACTAACATATACCCTCCAGTAAATTAACATAGACCCTGGCAGATAGGGGTTGGAAGACTAGTTTCCACTATAAATTGGTAATTTTCAGGGTCTGTGTTAATTTACCAGAGGGTATCTGAAGCTTGCAAGTTAATGAAGTCTTTTGGGGATGATTTTTATGTCAGGGTAAAAGGAAAAACCATTGACGTAATTCACCATTTGGGGATGATTCGCTCAATCCAAATTCGCTTTCTTGCTGAAGATCCAGGTACTGCCCCAGTGTGCCCTGCCAGCACGTGTAGGCAATGCTCTTCTGGTGCACTTTGATGCGCCGTGGGGGTTGTACTGCCTGGAGAAACGATGAGAAATGCCCAGTCTTCAGGTGCGAAATGGGTTGGTTGACTGGTTGACCATGTCTAAAGCCCCTCAGTTGGAACATATTTGAACCATATTTCAACTAACATGCTAAGCCAGAAATACGAATAGGGTCTTGTTGGTCAAATGAATCCATTAGGAAATCATATCGGTTGTATGGAAAATGGGATGAATTTGACACCCACAAACCAGCCTAGACACTTTGAAAACAATTTGTTGGATTCACATGTGCGGGGATGTTTCAACATTTAGGTTTTGGGCTGGGGCATGTTTTGAAAGACAAACCACAGAAATAGCATCTGTTTTAAACTGGTTACGGGGTAATGTACGATCAACATTCTCATTGATAATCCTTAATTTAAATTTGGTGACCTAAACGACACAGGGGTAAAAATCCAAAGATGCAAAGAAGACGATTTCTGCATTGCAGGCTGTTCATTCTAACGGACTCATGGAAAAGGTTAGAAACATTGTGACAAACAATGCTGGTTTCATATGTTTTCTTTGCGGCATTTTCAAAGATCGACATGAAAACCAAAAAAACATTCACCAAAAAGTACCAACCATAGATCTAGGTTCTAGGACCCAAAGATCCCACCTCCAAGTGAATCAAGATAAATCACCTATCAATCACCCCAAATTCGCCATAAATTCAGGAAACATATTAATGCCGGCAATCAAACATGGCAATGGAACATTCCCTACGAATGGAAGTTTTAATGGGACAATCATCTATAATCAGGGATTCTCCATTCCCACTGAGAAATTTATGAACAATATCATACAAGGTGGCGACCCTCAGTTACTTTTTAAAGTTGGTTAATCCCCATTAAGTGTAAATCTCCCCATAAACGCAGGCCAAATTGGAGTTGCAAACCAACTTCGCTAACTATGAATTATATAGAACAAATCATCTCAAATTAGACCCGTTTTAGCCTTGAAACAATTAATTTTGGGGACCTCCCATTTCAAGAAACCTCTGAGATTCCCGAAGTTTTCCTCGAAATTCAAGAAAAACATCGAAAACTCTCATTTCCCGACCAATTTCCCCAAGATTTCCGAGGGTTTCCAGATCCCAACAGGTCGCCTCCCACAGATCCCGTGAGTTTTTGGCTCCGCGTCGGCGAGCGCTGCCGCCCTGGCGACGTGTTCGACGTCGTCTTCGTCGTCGCCAGGCGCTGCGACGCCGACGCGGCGGTGCGGCGCAGCTCCCCAGACCCGGTGCTGCGAACGCGGCGCTGGGAGGATGCGGTGACCTCCGGCCGTTTTTCACCGAAAAGGTGACCATGAAGTGACCATGAACTGGTTGGTGGTGCAATGTGCCCATCTTGAACAATGATGGAGTTCGTCAATGGGAAAGGATTATCCCATATATTGTGGAAAATAAAATTCATGTTCCAAACCACCAACCAGTGAATGGAGATGTTTCATGATGTTTCATGATGTTTCATGGGAATTTAGTAAGGATATAGCCAGGATACAAAAATGGGTATATCATAATTGTAGGGATTCAACCACATGATAGACAGTAAATATCATGGGGTATAGCGGGGATGGGATAAAACATGATGGCCAGCATGCATCGATGGCCAGCGAGATACTTGAGAATGTGGCTCGCCCCGACCCATGCTTACAACTACTGATGACCCCTATGGTCTTTTTTTCACCTGACCATAAAATGACCAAGAATACTATACAAACAACAATGGATTGATGGTATATAGTGACTTCGTGGGCAAATAAAAATAATGATAATAGGGTAGAATTGAGATGAGATGATAATTTTGATTGAACAATTTTAGCATCACATTGGATACCGAAAATTCAGTTGTCGGTTACGTAGCACTATTGTATTCCTATTGTAGTCGGTTATGCACACTGAATCCCATACATAATTGGGGCAAATTGCCATATAATGGGGATATAATGGGCATGATGGGATAAAAGCGCTAATGAGAAGCATATATCCTGAAAATAATATGTATGTTTCAAGGTTTTATATGGTTTTATGGGATATAATGGACATATAGTGGAGGAAACAACTCAGTAGCAAAAAATGCAAACTGGATGGGGGTTCATCCTGAGCTGGCATTCGCGCGATGAATAAACCTACGGTCGGTGGATGGGCGACCATATGCCCTCCATGCGTTTCTGTTGAAAATTAGGGATGCTGATGGATGCTGTTGATAATTCAGGGTGCCACATGGTACCCTCTGGCAATCAAGCATACAATGGAACATCTCCTATTTATAGATTACTTTCCCATAAGCAACTCCATTTATAGAGATTTTCCATTGCCATGTTTGACTGCCAGAGCATGCTTCTTGTTACATGTCTTCTTCTACTTCACCGTCACCAACTCGAGCCCACCCATTTTTGTGGCTCGCTGGGGGGGTCTTGGTGCATTTTTTTCCAGGTCGGAGTCAGAACATGCCGCGCAAAGGATCACGGCCCATGAACCAGAAATAGAACAGAGTGCCAACAAAGCCATGATACCTCAGCAAAGACTTGACGAGTCTTTTGAACTTGGAACCCCCAAGTTCAACACTGCGTCAGAATTCATTGTGTTTATGACTAGTGAATGGATAACAATGGGAATGATGGGGTGTATCCACATTTCTGGTGATTATAGTATGTAATTCAACAACTTGAACAGACTTGAAGAGTTCAGGCATTGCGGGATAGTTACTCATGTACCTTCCTTCACAGTGACCAGAATACTGATGCAACAGCGAAATCCGTTTGATGTTTTGCTTCAACAGGCAAGGTAAAGGACCATGGATGGCCAAATTGAACAATTTTTTGCTTTCGGTATGTTAAATCATAGGCTATGCCCAATTAAGTTACAGGAACCCTATGAATGAACATTGTTGGAATGAATGAGGAAAAAATATGTGAAGTACTATTCCCAGCAAAGTCCTTCAAAGTGACTTGGGTTACTTGGGGAAATCTTGGTGAAATGGACAGTTCAGGGCACAGAAAAACATCCGTCAACTCTTCGACTCTTCGCCGATTTGAGTTGGATTCCGCTGTCCATTGTCTTCACGAATACCCCCGCTTTTTTGTTTTATAGATGGTGGGGGCACCACGTAAAATCGAAACTACCGAAATACATGTAATTGTGGCTAATTTAGTGGCCTAATTTAGTGAGTGAAGTCATTCTTCATTATACTTTATTCAATCCTGGGCGACAGACTCAATGAACATCTGATCTGCTGCCACTTGGATGTCACAAGGTGGGCCCCAGGGATCCATAGAAATCCAAACTTGTGAATAACCCCTATTTTGCCGAGGATACCAACGAGATATCCCATGGCATCATGGCCCAACAATTGGATGAACTAACCGCTTCCTACAACTAGGGCATATCCCACTATCTGACTGGCATCTTTCATGCGTTGCAAGCCAAGAATCAGATTCCTGGGATGCTAAGTACTACGTAAAGGCATGTAAGAACCATGAGCCAAGCAATCTTGTCCTTTTAGGAAAAAATGCGGCTGGTTGGTAGGCTATTGATTTGTTTGGTTTTCATGGGGAGAACACGCCCTCTAAATCAACCGACCTGTGGGAATTGCCAAGTTGCAAACCCAATGGCAAAACATTTCTGTGCAGCAAATATTCCACGGCCCATGGCACACCCATCATTCCAGTGCCAGCCATCAGCCAAATGTCGGGCCAGTGAACCATGGCGAAGGCGGTGGCTGAAACCAAGACGCAACCCAGGGTAGCGAGGAAATTTCGCAAGTTTCGCTCCTCCAAAACCATCGAACTCTGGATTTTGGGGACAAATGGAGGCACAACCACCTTTTTCCCATCATCAAGAAGTTGTCAGGCTCTTTTTTGTGGGTAACTCCATCATCGAAACCATAAATGTGGGAAACATGACAAAAAAATAGACGCTCAGAATGGAGAATGCAGGCATGGATCTGTGGGTCTATCCTCATATACCCAGCCGAAGAGAAATAAACTGGGAGAAGTGAATGCCGCCCTTTGCTGGCACATATACAATGAAACTGATCTTCACCAGTCGGTTAGAGCAACACATTTAACATGTTTAAAATGTCATCTTTCTTTCCGAACTGCCATTTTATGGAGTATCTCCAATTTTTGGACCTACCCATTTGTCAAGTGTGTCCTTCAAAAAGGCCTGAAGGACTGAATAGTCATCTTTGCCAGTGACCAACCAACTCAAATGGCGCATCAAGAAACTTTGCAGCATCACCTGGAAGTTTGCATGAATACCAACAAAAATCAGCTGTCAAAAGCTTGGATTTGCCACTGGTTTTGAAGAAAATCCCAATGAACTAACGTGAATAGAACACTACCCCAGGAACGCCCAGTTGGTGATTGATTGTCATTGGGTTTATCACATTAAGGCATACCACCCCGGTAGATTCCACATGTGGAACAACCGAAGGGAACATGTAATAAACACATTCTTCAGCAAACACAAACGCCGAAAAGGTGCGTTGATATACACCCTGGCAATTCAACATAACTATGGGACATGGCCCATTTATAGATGATGGTTTACCTAGTTTACCTAGTTTACCTAGTTTACCTATTCAACACAGCCATTTTCTATGGATTCTCCTTGGCTATGTTAAATTGCCCAAGGGTAATTGCCCAAGGGTAACCTCGGGACTTTCAAAGGAAGAACAGAACATCTGTTGAGATTTTCAACTTCCATCCATGACATGTTTTCTCTAACTCTTCTATTTGTTGTAAGCCCAATGCCATGTGTACCCCTTTGTTGGGGTATTGCCTATTGAAACCAACCAAATGGCAAAAATGTTTAGATATGCTGTGGGGTTTGACTGGGTTTCCCACGTTGCACTCTCCACAATCTATGCAATCTATGCCATGTGGCATGCTGCAAGACTCCATAGAAAGGATACAAGGCAAAAATCAACCACAAATGCCAGTTGTCGAAATAGATGCTGCGATTCTGCACCGCAGTTCCAATGCAAATTGCCCCCAAAGCCACCAATGAAAAGAGGCTGGGGAGAATGAAGCTGTGCTTCAAGTTGGGTTGATCTACCCTTACACCCCAGGAGGAGAGGATTCGCCCGCCATGCCGAAACAGTTGGAAAACGCCCCATGCGATCCACAGCAAAGCGCAGGATGCAATGAAAAGCGACAAAGGATTCAACAGCTTTGCAATGAAAATCACACCAGTTGTCAGGGTAGCAAAGACTTCGAAACATCTTTCCTGGTTCGTGCTTTAAGGCCATCACCATCATCCTCATCATCCTCCTCATCATGAAAACCACTTTTCTTCCCCAAACAGTGTGTCCACACCGGGGGGGTTCTTAAGGTAGGTGTAAGGCCGGTGCTTGATCAGGGTGCTCACTCTGGGCCACGGCATTTTTCCGGTAAATTTTCGTCTAAAGTGGCTCTTGTGAAATTTAGCATGCGTTTCGACCGCGCAGGCTCGCACAAAATGTGTGGTCCCAGGCTCCGATCATGATCATCCTCACCCTCATCATCATCCTCACCGTCATCATCATCATCATCATCATCATCATCACCATCATCATCATGAATATCCTCACCATCATCGTCGTCATCATCATCACCATCATCATCATCATCATCATCCCCACATCATCATCTTCCTCCTCCTCAGCATCATCATTCTCAACATTATAATCTTCCTCCCCCTTCACATCATCATCTCCAACTTCATCATCCTCCATTTCATCTTCCGCAACATTATCCTCCTCCACCGCATCTTCCGCAACATTATCATCCTTTTCACCATCCTCCTCAACATCGTCGTCCGCAACATCATCATTATCATCACTATCGTCCGCAACATCATAATTATCATCATCCTCAACATTATCGTCCACAACATCATCATTATCACCATTTTCATCATCAACATCATTATCATCATCATCATCATCGCCATCATCACCACCACCATCATCATCATCATCACCATCATCACCATCACCATCACCAGCACCATCATCATCATCATCATCAGCATTATCATCATCAACATCATCCATCATACATTACCTCCCACCCCGCACACTGTTTGGATTCTCTTGCCAGGATAATTCTATCATTTTTTAGGTGGAAAATCACAAACAAACGAAGACAAATTCAGATCAGCGTCCCACAAGCTGAGGTCTGGTAACCCAACCAGCTGCCTTGATTCTGGGCCCGGCTTCTCTGCCTCACCAGTAACGACGCCCCTTTCCAAGACCACTTCGGAAGGCTTTCTGCTTCCATCCTCCATTGCTTCGCTGATCCAAATGCTGCGGGAATTGCATCGTGACCTGTGGATCCTGTGGTCATCTTGAAAATTCAGCCAGCAGATGGAGTGGAGAACATGTGTTGAATGCGGAATCTCTTTCCCACAAGAAAACATGTGTTTTAACAGACAAAATGATCATTCATCTGTGAAACCCAAAGAGAACAAATTGAAATTCACGATGCGCGATTGTCCTCGGTTTGCCAGGTCATGCAATTCAACCTTTCCATGATTTCCACTTCGATGAAAATACGCTACAGCCGGATCAGCACACGAAAATACGTGGAATTTTGTTGTGCCAATGGGGTACCTCCAAAATCTTGCCCCCACAGATATACAGCTGCAACTGATCCAGTATTGGCAGTAAACGCCACAAGTGAACAAACCCAAATAGAAACGCTTGCCATTTGGAAGGGCTTAGTGGAAGTCTGCCTTTCCAGGCGAAAACAGGTACAAGACTTTAAAAACCAAACAAATGCCAAGCAGGGTCAATTCATATCAATTCATATTTTTTGTTATTTTTATATATACATATATAAATATATATGTACTTATCTAACTGAAACTGGCCGGAACCGGGGAAAACACATCTCCAATCCCGCAAGCATCGGTTTTAAGTTGCCTCCAAATGCAAGTCATTGGGCATGTTGGTCGACAGTACCACCTCATGGGAAACTCCATGGTTTCCCGATCCCAGCATCGGGAACTGTACCAGTTGTGGTACCAGGCGTATGTAAACAACAAAAAATCCATGGTTTCTCGCGAGTTCGGCAATATTTCCATGCCCGTGATGCATGGTAGTGGTGGAAAAAACACAGGTAAGATAATTGATGGAGGCGTTGTGGATGAACAAGTGATACACCTTTTCTGGTTCGAAATTCCACATCTGCATACCCAAATATTACCAAGTATAATCATCGCATCCACACAATTTAGACCCACGTTTTCCCACACAAAACCAAAGCTTCACATCGCCAATGAATCCCAACTACAAGTGGGCTAACCCTTGGCCCATGGATAACCAGGGTTACTCTATGTACATCCAGTGGGATGAAGGATTCAGTGGCTAAATCCACAACATCACATCCCAAGAGCACCCATTATACCCTCATGATAGGGGGCCCTAGAGTCACTATTGAACTTCAAAATTCGCAGGTGTGATGAATCCCTTCAATAATAGATAAATACCCTTCTTCGGCGGTTGGGGGTCTGATAAGCTAAAGACAGAATCACTTATTATTGGGTGGTCGCCTTTTAAAGGGGTTCGGTGGAAGCCGAATGAACATGATTCCTATCATTGCAAACAACCAATTCACCGTATCAATAGCCATTGGTGACTTTGGAATTTACCATTTAAACAATCTAAACATTGACAGTTTTATTAACCATATTGCTAATCACTGTCGACCATGGTTTTGACCATATCAACAATCATTATTGACCATTATATGAATTTATATGAGCCATATGACTAGTGACTATTAGCCGTATTAGCCATTAACTGTTCTTAACAGAATCCTGAATTAACCATTGATTAATGAATCATTATTTATAATCAATATATAGTCATTAATAGAAAAGAATAGCTAATTAATCATGGAATATTAGCTAATATGAACCATTCATTAATAATGAATCGTTACTCATCATGAATTCAAAATCCTGACCGAAGGGATCTGGAGGGATCCCCAGCGGGACCAACGGTGACCGACCTGACTACCTGTGGACCATTTCAGGCGTTCCCAGTTGACTGGTGGTATAATGGAATATATTCAATGGCCATGACTCAGGATCCGATTGATTGGAGGTACCTACCATATATTTTTGGCCTATTTTTGAGGCCTATGTAAGGGAATATCCCCACAAAATATGGCCTTATATGGTACAGTACCTCCATTTTAGGATCCTGAAACTACCATTGATAATATAATGAATATATAATCCTGGATATATGATAAAGAGCATTGTCAAAATACCCATGGGAATAATGGGATAGCAATGAAATATACTGAGAGATTTAATGCCAATCAGTTTTATTGGTTGTATATCCCATTATACCAGTATATTGTAACAATGTATATAGAGCCATTTGCAGAAATGAATCGATCCATAATGTAAGATTGTTAGCAGCGAATACATAATCTTTAAGATCAATACCATAGTAAAAAAAAACATTATTGACTATAAAAACATTGACAGCCGTTAATAGACAAACTTCAACCACTAGTATCCATGATATCAGCAATCCACATTGTATCAATGGGATGTACACCAATAATTGGATATACCATCAATTACTGGGATATAACATTGATGACATTACCCTGCTGTATGCCAAACAACATATCTTGGGAAAATTAGTTAGTTAATATATCATTAAAATGATGGGTATATTAATCCATGATAGTGCTACTATTTATCCAACACCAACCAGGCGATTACCAAGCATTGGTTATTATAATTTGAATTTACACCGGTTATAATAATATAACTGTTAAACCATTATATACAATCAATTTTGATGGTTATTGATGGTTGTTACTGGTAATGATTCTTAATGGTTCTTAAACAAAATACACTGGTTAGTTTGGCAATGGGCAATGGGATATAATAATAACCAATAGCCAACCACTAAAAACAATATTATATACATAAACAATCAAAATAGTTGATAATAATCCTGGTTGAAATTGGTTGGGATACCAATGGGATATAAAATATCATCAATATATAACGGTATATATAATGATGCCTATACAATCAAATGATATACTGTATCAGTTATGTTTCCGTAGTTATTGAACGTAATGCCATGGTTAATGAATCAATGGGAAATAATATTAACCAAGAATCAGCCGTTAGATAGATAACTGAAAAACCATTAATAAGCATTAAAAAACATACATAACTATCGTTAGCAGCTATTCATCAACCATGAGTATCCAGGAAATCATCAATCAACATTGTATCAATGGGATATACACCAATAATGGGATATAGTGTAACTATACAACCATGATATATAATCAATTCTGATGGTTGTTGTTAAAAATACACTGGCTAATCAATTAATCAATGAGATATAAAACTAACAAAGAATCAACCGTTGGATAGGTAGCTATAATTCCGTTAATAGCTAGCAATAACCAATCAAATGTCATCAGTAATAACTATATATATATATACACATCACCATCATACAGCCATCATTGACAGCCATCAACCAATAACCAGCATTGTACAAACAATATGCACCCATTTTCTTGGACATTCGATTTTTGATATAATCATACATGATAGCACCACAATATAGAATCAATGTTGATGGTTATTCTTCAAAAGCAATGGGATATTTTCCCAGCCGTCAATATACAATCACCAGTAATAACTATATAACAGAGCCATTATATAACCATCAATATCCATCAATCATAACAATACACAGCCATCGTATAACCATCATATAACAATCTGTAACAGTTATTCATCAATCATTATCAACTATCATTAACCAATATCAAACCATTGGAAAGATAACCATGGGATGTACTCACCAATAGGAAATAACTTGATATCACATTAAGATACATTAACAGTTCATGAACAGTCACCATTCACAACCATCATTATTAACCATTAAGAATGGGTGTGAAATAGTTTTAGGATTTTTTTTTTGAGCAGGTTTGGGATTTTTTTTTGGATTTCTTGGCTGGTACCATTTGCCTAGTGTTTGCAACGGTTTGGAACGTGAATTTGTCATTTTGCATGGTATTTGCCACATTTGGGCATGTTCACCTTCCATTTTGCATGGGATCTACTACATGTGGGCATGTTCACCTTCCATTTTGTATGGTATTTGCCACATTTTGGCGTGTTCACCTTCCATTTTGCATGGGATTTCCTACATGTGGGCATGTTCACCTTCCATTTTGTATGGTATTTGCCACATTTTGGCATGTTCACCTTCCATTTTGCATGGGATGTGGGATGTTCTACATGTGAGCATGTTCACCCAAATATTTACGGATGCGGAACCTTGGGATTAGATAAAAAGCGGGTGGGGGGGATTGAGGGAGGGCGCTAGCTATCTATCCAGCTAGCTAGCTATCTAGCTATCTAGCTAGCTATCTATCTAGCAAGCTAGCTATCTATCTAGCAAGCTATCTATCTATCTAGCTATCTATCTATCTAGCAAGCTATCTATCTATCTAGCTATCTATCTACCTATCTAGCTAGCTATCTTGCTAGCTATCTATCTACCTATCTAGCTATCAAGCTAACTATCTATCTAGCTATCTAGCTATCTAGCTTTCTATCTATCTAGCTATCTATCTATCTAGCCATCCAGCTGTCTATCCAGCTATCTAGCTATCGAGCTATCTAGCTAACTATCTATCTAGCTATCTAGCTATCTAGCTTTCTATCTATCTAGCTATCTATCTATCTAGCCATCCAGCTGTCTATCCAGCTATCTAGCTATCTATCTAGCTATCTATCTATCTAGCTAACTATCTACCTATCTATTTAGCTATCTATCTATCTATCTATCTAGCTATCTATCTATCTAGCTATCTATCTAGCCATCTATCTATCTAGCTATCTATCTAGCCATCTATCTATCGAGGTATCTAGCTATCTATCTCTCTAGCTATCTATCTATCTAGCTGGCTATCTATCTATCTAGCTATCTATCTACCAAACTATCTATCTATCCAGCTATCTATCTATCTATCTAGCTATCGATCTATCTATCTATTTATCTATCTATCTATCTATCACATGTAATCCTGTCAGCTTTCCAGAGAAGGTTAGTTCGCAAAAACCAACTAATGTAACTTGGGTTTAAGTTTATTTTTTTTTTAAAAAAGCGGGAGGGGGAGGGCGCAGCGCCTCGCCCCAAAGCAGAATGCAAGCACCTCTTCTCACATGTTACGTTGCTAGTTTTCAAGAGAAGGTTGGTCATGTGATACTCAGGGATGTAAATACTGTGCAAAATGCATCTTACATGAAAATCAAGTATTTAAAGCAGGCAAAGCAAAAAAAAAAGCAGAGAAGCAAAAAAGCAGAGAAGCAAACGCACAAAAGCAAAACAGCAGAAAGGCAAAGAAGCAGGAAAAGCAGAAAAGCAGAGACGCAGGAAAAGCAGGAAAAGCAGAGAAGCAAAGAAACAGGAAAAACAGAAAAGCAGAAAAGCAGAGAAGCAGGAGAAGCAGAAAAGCAAAAAAGCAGAAAAGGCGAGAAGCAGGAGAAGCAGAAAAGCAAAAAAACGGAAAAGCAGAGAAGCAGGAAAAGCAGGAAAAGCAGGAAAGCAGAGAAGCAGGAAAAGCAGGAAAAGCAGAGAAGCAGGAATCCAAAAATAATTCCTAAACCTGATCAAAAAAAAATTCCTAAAATAATTAGCCCTCCATTAAGAATCAACCATCATTGGACAGATAGCTATAAATCCGTTAATAGCCAACAATAACCATTCATCACCACCAAATATCATCAGTACTAACTATATACATATACATAACCATCATACAACCATCATACAACCGTCATATAACCATCATACAACCATCATATAACCATCATACAACCATCACATAACCATCA